AGGATCAGAGCTCAAGACCTCTAACTACTTTTTATCTTGCCCTGACGCTTGACAAGCATGATTCAGAAATGTTCTCTGAGTTGCCTTAGAAAATCAGGGAGAGGAGCACATCTGAAACCAAGATAGACCCTGAGGTACTAATGATTTTTAAGGGTTAAAGCTGATCTTTTTTACATAGCAAAAATTGCTGTGCAGAAATACTCCAACTATAGCAGAAAACACAAAGGTCAGGAACACCACACAGCAAAGGCATTCATTACAGAACATCAGGGCCAAGTCCCATTGCAATAGTTCACAAGAAGCGCCTCTCCCAGAAATGCCACCAAAAAGTTCTAATCTGCAGCGTATCTAATCAAATGATTTCCATGTCATTAAAACATGTTTTCCTTACAACTTGGGGGGGGGGGGGGGATAACAGAGCGAAAAGAGATGTTTCATCTTCAGCAGCCTTTTTGAGAAGCTTGCTAGAAGAAACAGATTTGTGTCTCCTGGTATTTCTTTGGCATACCCATAATTAAATGGGCGATAGTAAGACATACATGAGCCTAACAACTCCTCATTAAGCCTGGCTTCCCTGAGACCAGCTGCTAGAGGCTAACAACTTTCTCCAAGGGGGAACATCATTAGTGACATGAATGGGATGGGAAGTCGACAAAACAGGATGTAGAGCAGATTCCATATTGCCAGAGGGCCAGTTTAACAAGCCCAAGGGAAATGATGGTATTTAATATTTCATCAAAGAGCTCTGTTTAAACACTACGTTTCCTTTTATGATTGTTTAATCAACGCAATGGCAGGACCATGATGGAATGTTGTTTACACTTTGGGAGTTGAAGGCTAAGGCACACAGAAAGAAGCAGACAAATCCAGAAGAACACCTAGATATTGGAGAAACACACAATTCATAGATGGGCAACAGCTGCAACCAACTCAAATACCACAAGTACATGTATTTTTGAGTTCCAGAATTCTTTTTACCAGGTAGCACCAAAAAAGCAGATGGGAAAGAAACAGATGAGACCAAGTTAAGACACATGTTACAGTCATGAGGATGGAAGGGGCCTTGCCCCAAAGTGTCTAGTGACCTAGGATCTTACTGGAGAAATATTTTCCTCCCTCTACCTTTTCATACTTTTATTTGGACTCCCCTCCTCACTGTTCTCCTGGCCAGCTGCACACAAACCAGTGCCAAACATCCAAGCGCCCGATTCTGGGTCCAATTTCTTCTACAGCTTCCTTCCTTTGCTCACTCATTGCTTTTAAGATTTCATTTCATGCATACCCCACACTGGGATTACAAGACTGAAACTAATATCAAAAGAAAATACTGATAAAAACATTCCCAAGAATCTCATTTTTAAAGGGCAATTAGCCTAACTATAATATTCAAAGATGAATGAATTAAAACCAAATAGAAGCCATTAAGAGAGCAAAATAAAGGCAGCACAATTCAAATCTATTAGAGCTCTTTTCTCGGCACACTGAGCTGCTGCAATCCTCAAAGAATAAAAGACTCTTTGCCTTATGGTGGAGGAGAAAAGGCAAAGAAGCAGGCAATGTCTCTTTGGAAGGGAAATCCAGGGCTCAGGAGCGGCTGCTGAGAAGGCCACATCCCATATCACCATCGGATGGGGCCCGAGGGCAGCAGGACCAAGAAACGGGTCTTCTCCAAAGACTTCCCAGCCTGGATCCACGTTGCGCAAGGCTTCATGGATCACAAGCAGCACTTTGAATTGTGTCCAGAAACAGACTGGCAGGTAGTGGGCTGTTTCAACAAAGGAGATACACACTCCCTGTATCCAGCCTTGGTTAACAGTCTGTCTCAAGCTCTTTGAGTCAGCTGAAGTTTCTGGGCACATCAGAGTGCATTACAGGGATCTAAACAAGATGTAAATAAGACATGGGTTAATTTTGCTATAACAGATAGCTCCAGAAACCCATACAATTGGCTTACTGGCTTTAACTGAGCAATGGTCGCTCCCAGCTGACTTCAGTGACAATATCTGAAGTCAAGTGATCCAGTCTACATGGATCTGAGAAACAGGAGACTAGAAGTAGCAGAGTCCTTCCTTCCTGACCTTCTGTCACTCAGTCCTTGCAATATTCTGAGCTTTATGTTTTTCGCCCATCTCCTGCCTCTTGCCTATCCTTTGTTTCATTTATCCACCCTTTCTTTAGCCCCTTCAAGTTGTCAAGCTCCAGGAGCCATGAAGCAATGCTGAGCAGGGAGGAGAAAATCTCATCCATCTGCCAATGCAGTGAAAGTGCAACCATGTGCAAAAAGCTACCACCGAGTAGGCCTGTATGCTAGAGGCAAGGTCGGCCCTGCTTGTTGTTTCATGCCATCTCTTCTGCTGCACTCAGAGTGCTGAGCAAGACTTGTGATCACAGCTGTTCTCACTAAAAACTAATTAAGATTAATGCCATGCTTCTACTTTGTTATTCCCCATGGAACAATATACTAACCATTCTGCTGTAGTCCTGCCCTCACCACCTTTCAGAACCCCCACTACATCACTTTGGGGAAAGCATCCCATCCAGACAACGGGTGTTTACAAGTTCCATGAAATGGACAGATCACTTGCTTCCCTATTAGAGAACTATGTGTGTATCAAAGACATTAGTAGAACAAGACCCTGAAGACACTAGACTAAACCAAAGACTTTGGAGAGGGGAGAACCCCCAGGAACTAAAATCACTGCCATTTCTGTGGTCTGGGATTTTTCTCTTTCTGACAGTGAAGACTTCATTTCTGAAGTCCCTTAGTGAGTAAGATGTACCTGAGCTCTGTCAGAGCCAACATCTCAAGAAAACAGACTGGCCTGTTTAAGCTCCAGTTACTAGAAACTGACTTGTCCACTAGTCTACTTGAACTGTCAAAAGAGTTCACATTTGCTGGAGCCACATGCTCATTCCCTACTCTCGGGAACATCTATCCCTCTTGATGTTCTTTATTCATTTAAGAGCCGTCCATGGTCCTGCCTGAGATACTCCTTCAGACTTCTCTTGGTTAGAAGCAAGGAAATGCTGCATTGCTCTTTCATTGGGCTCGTTCACTCCCAGTGATAGTGACATTAGGCCCTGGCATGGAAACTGCCCATGTTATGCTGAAGAAGCATATGATCAAGGGCAATATACATTATGGAAATAGCAAGGAGAAAAGCCATAGTTGTTGGTTCATTGTAAATAAGACATGACCAGTCACTTCTTAAACTAGAAAATCTGGTTGGCTCCTCATCCAACATTCCATCGCACAGCCAACTGCTCTGCCTTTTATTTTACCATTCTAGCTATCTAGTGATTTTTCTCACCCCAGGCATATTCCACCATATTATCACATGATGAATTGTAGAGATAATATTAAACTTAAAACATGGATGCCCAAAGACAACAGTATTTGTACATCTCTAAATTATCTTCAGTAGATTGGTGAAAAATTCTGAATCCCATTTTTTATAAATTTATTGTTACATGTCATCAAGTTGGCTCAGACTTAAGGCGAACCTATGAATTAGAGACCTTCAAAAGACCCTGTTATTAGCAGCCTTGCAAATCTCAGGTCCTGACATAAAGAAAGCTTAAGGTAACCAGGAGCAGGGTTTTGCTCGGGTAATCCAAACCAATTTTTGGACTCAGATTTACCTAAACTTGATTTTGGTTTGTGCTTTTTCGCAACAGGCTATGATAGGGGGTTCTTTAGGTTCCAAAATACCCAAAAGTAGATCCTGCAAGCCAAAGGTCTGCTGACTTTGACCCAAATAAAACAAATGGAACAGAAGAAGGAACACAACACACTGGGCCTGAAACATCAATCAGGGGCAGCCATAAGGTTTGTTTTGACAACATCACCAGTTTTCTTCTCACCTAGCTTGGAAAGAGGACTGATGAGGAGTATGCATATCTGAATGCATGCACAGGCTGTCAACTCCCAAACCAACTGCACATGATTGCACTCATGTTTTTAAATGATGCAAACACAATTTAGCAGTATCAGCCAAAGGAAGAAGATCAGGTCCCAGGTGAAGAGAAGAAACAGTCCACTGCCCAGCCTGAGGATGTTCGCATCACACCGGGGACAAACTGATAACATTACACTTTGACTTTAGGTAGAGGGCTGAGAATTGGGAGGAAAACAGAGAAGGAAACTCTGCAGAACAAAATTAAAGGACCAAAATCTTGATTCACAATGTTTAAGATCCCTCTTAGTTGAAAGAGAACTCCAAATGCAATGCAAACATGTCCAGTGTGGATTCTATTAATACTGTTCCGCATACCCTTTTCTTGATAAGTGAGAAGTCAGGCCAGCCTCTACAAATTCATTGTCTTTTAGAGAAGAATGACCTTCTGTTTATTTTAAAAACATGTAAATTACACATCCTAGTTAACAGGTGATCTGCACTTATGGAGAGAAGGACAGGTGTCACAATGAACATGGTGTGTGTGTAATGCAGCTCCACAGACATGCCTCCTGGCAGTAGGGGGCAGGTTTTGCAACTATCATGATATCTCCCAACACAAGATGCTACAATGAGCTATGGAGTGACGGGCACTCAATTCCTTTTATAAGAAACTAAAGGGGATATACTGGATGGTGCCAAAGGCTGGAGTGAAGGGTATGACATCTTCTCCTCATTATCTTAGTGTTTGGGTAACAGCCTTATTGGGTGGTCTACCTAGAAGTTAACTTTAAAAAGAACAAAATCAAAATGAAATCAGCAGAAGAACAGCGGCTACTTGGATCACAGTGAAATTAATGTGTCCCTCCAGAAGTTGTGGGCTGTAAGTTCTATGAGTCTGCACTAGGAAATATAATGATGAGAAATACTGGCATTTACAGTCCTATCAAATCTGGAAAACCACATGATTCTTACCCTTCTTTCAGATCCGGTGCAGGGACATGACCCAAAGGAAGAGAAGTCCAAGAAAATACCAAATTTGCATGTTCCCAAAGTTGGTTTGACACATGAAAGGACTAGGGGTTTTAGTGGCAGATATCTTACCTGGTGATGATAGCAAGATGGGGAGGACTCATGCAAACACCCATGAAGAGGACCACATTCTCATGTCGAGTCTGCCTGTAGGCCATCACTTCCCTCTTGAACGCCTTCAGCTGCGCTTCATTGTCTCGCTCAATGTCAATGAGGCGGATGGCCACCTCCCCATGCCAACGGCCATGAAACACCTGTCCAAAGCGGCCCTTGCCAATCAGTTCGCCAATCTCCAATTGTTCAAACGGGATGTCCCATTCTTGCAGGAAAATACTGGTCTGGCTGGCTTTGCGAGGGAAGTTGCGAGCAGAAAGGAGGGAGAGGTTCATCTCATCAAACTCATCCTCAAATTCCTCAAAATTTCTCTGTTCATTCTAGAGGTGAGATGAGAGAAGAATCATTATATATTCACAGAACTCCAACTTCCCATATTATTTACCCACACACATTAATAGACATCAACATTAATACACATCACCAGGGCAAGCTTTCAGGGTGAAAGTCCAAGATCCTAATCTGTAGAAGAAGCAGGAAGGATCCTCTAAGGTAGCAAGGCTGGTTTATCACATTTGTATATGCATCATTTCCTAAAGAGGAACTCCATCCAAAGACTCTTAAATCCCAAGTATAAAATTGCTACTCATCAAAGCGACATACACACAAACACAACACATAACTCAACAATCCTACTCAGCATGTCTGAAGAACCAAACCCATATCGACCAATAGTGAGAGAAAATGCATCTGGAGAGCAGCAGTTACCCATTTGGAGAGAACTGTTCCAAAAAAGCAGTATTACAGTCTCCGACCCATCCAAAGCAGTTTGAGAAGAAGTGAGATCAGCACTGCTGCAATAATGGATTTTCTGTGAAGCCTAATGTTGATTTTCTTTAAACATTTTTTAAAAGACCTTCAGTAGCAAAGAGCACATGAACTAAGGAAATAGCACCAGAAGCTGGGCAGAAAAAGCAAAAGTCATATCATGAGCTTGGACTTCATGTGAATTAATTCAAAGGATCAAAGCATTCCTTACAATTTATTACCACTGGCAGTAATTCTATTTTGGCCTGAGATGGGCTTGTGCGCTCTCTCTTTCTCTCTCTTTGTGTGCTAGTGACCATGCCTCCAGCAACAGTCCCAAGTATTGCTCATGCACAATATAAAGCCTTATGGACTGCGGGAGATGGTCCCATCAGAACAGAGCAGGCAAAAGCTGCACATCACAAGTGCTGAACCTGATTCAGCACATAGAAGACTGTTTTGAAAGGCAGCAGATTATAGGAGCTGTCTTCGTAGACCTGTCAGAAGCATATGATACTGTAAATCACTGCCTTCTCCTGAGAAAAAAATCTAATATCTCAAAGGACTAACACCTCACCCGCTTCATAGGAAATCTGCTACAAAACAGGAGCTTCCAGGGCCAGAGAAGCAGATGGCAAAAAGAGAAGAACGGCCTTGCCTCAGGGAAGTGTGCTTGCTCCATCAATGTTTAATATTTACACAAGTGATCAGCCACTGTCAGAAGGTACAGAGAGTTTCATCTATGCTGATGATCATGCCATCACTGCTGAAGCAGGGAGCTTTGAAATGGTTGAACAGAAGTTCTCCAAAGTTTTAGGTGCTCTTACTGTCTATTACATGGAAAACCAGCTGATTCCTCATCCATCTAAAATGCAGATGTGTACATTTCATCTTAAGAACAGACAAGCATCTCGAGCTCTGAGGATGACCTGGGAAGGAATCCCACTGGAGCATTGCAGCACACCCAAATACCTCGGAGTTATTCTGGACCATGCTCTGACTTATAAGAAAACTGCTTGAATATCAAGCAAAAAGTGGGCACTAGAAATAATATCGTACAAAAGCTGACTGACCTGGGGCTCGCAATCAGAGACAGTGAAGACATCTGCCCTTGCGCTTTGCTACTCTGCTGCTGAATACGCATGCCCAGTGGATGTGGCTCTTAATGAGACATACCACATCATCACAGAATGTCTACACCACTGGAGAAATTACACTGTTTAGCTGGTATCACACCACCTGACATCCACCGGGAAGTAGCAGCCAGCAATGTAAAGACCAAGGCATTTACATCTTTAGCCCATCCCCTGTTTGGATATCAGCCAGCATGCCAATGCCTTAAATCAAGAAATAGTTTTCTAAGATCTACAGAGATACTCGCAGGGACACCTCAGCCAGCGAGAGTCCAAAAGTGGCAGGCTAAAACCCAGCACCTCAATCCATGGCTGATACCAAATGAGAGACTCCCTCTTGGGCACACAGAAAAGTGGACGACCTGGAAGGCAGTGAACAGGCTATGCTCTTGCACCACAAGATTTAGAGCTAACCTTAAGAAGTGGGGCTACAAAGTGGAGTCCACAACATGCAAGTGCAGAGAAGAGCAAACCACAGACCACCTACTACAATGCAGTCTGAGCCCCGACACATGCACAATGGAGGACCTTCTTACAGCAACACTAGAGGCACTCCAAGCGGTCAGCTTCTGGTCAAAGGACATTTAGCACAATACCAAGTTCTCTTTTTAACTTTGTTTGTGTTTTTAAATGCATTTTAACTGTACCCTCAACTTGCTTCTGACACAATAAATAGATAAAATAAAATCAGAACAGATTGCACAAATGGTTCTGACAAAGATTCAACAAGCAGAGTAAATAGTTGTGACATTGATGGCAGCAATCTGGAGCGAATGGCAAGAGAAGTCATAAGAGCAGGCTTTTTTAGCAGCAAGGTCAGCAATCGGTAGCTTTCTCCCAGCAAAGGGGTTTTAGTAGAAGTCCTGCAATGCTATGCCGGTGGGGTGATGATTGGCAATGGCAACAAGGATAACTTAATATTATTCCCATGCTACAAGAAAAGGGCCATCTATATGTTGAATCTCATCCCCAAAATGCATAGACCTCTTGATGAAATACTTTGAGGCCATGAGATCCCAAATAAACTGTGTAAACACACGAAGAGAAGAGCCTCAAACACGCAGGAAGTGAAGAAAAATAAGCCGAAAGCTCTGATGGCAACAGACAGCTACATCTTAGGTGTATTCCAAGACTGTGGTCCTATGAAGGTAAGGCAGACATACAGCTGTATATCTAATAGGGAACAACGTTGCACAGAGTAGAAGGACACCCTTAAGAAGTCATATTCTCGAATACCCAACAGCCTTACAGGTCTTTATAGATGGTCATATTGGGAATGGGGGTTAGAAGAACAGGACCAGTTGCAAAGTGTACCTTCTCCACCCGTCCAAAATTAGCAGAGTTCCGCAAGAAGTTAGAGTGTGACAGAGACTCAAATTTACCAAACAATGCCCGAACGGCACAGGAGCATGGGAAACTGCCTTGTTTTAAGTAAGTCCACCGATTCATCTAGATCACCATTCCATAAACCATGGCTGAGGAACATATGGCCAGCCAGATGTTGCTGGACAACCAAGGCTATGACAGTGGCAGTAAAGGGGAAAGAGGAGTAGGAAAGAAGGATGTAGCTCAGTGGCATCAGGTCCCTGGGCCTATCCTCTGCATCTTCAAGATAGACTTCTTCATTTGAACAGTATTGTTGTTAGTCAAATTGAGCTAAAGATCGGGAACATGTATCCTCTCAGATTTCTGAACTACAACTGCCATCTTGAATACCAAGTGTAGCCAGTAATGAGGGATGATGAGAACAACACCTGGAAGGCCAAACAGTCCCCATCCCTGATCTACAGTGATTGGCAGCAGTTCTCTGGGACTGATATATGACTATACGAGCCCTGCCTGGTAGTACCAGGGAATTAACCTGGAAACATGAGTATGCAAAGCATGTGCTTTACCATGGAGTTATGGCTCTTTCCTCACTCTAGCCTTTATGCTAGAAGGCATGGGGGTCCAATACACAAGAAGGTCAAACCAATCAGCCACCAATTTACAAAAAAATGCATCAGAATTCATTGTTCCATATTAACCTTATTACAAATTTCAAGCCAGCTGCTATGAGATGTATATAACACCATCATCTATTAAACAAAACATAAGCAATGGGCAGCCATAATTGCCTCCAGCAGGAGTTAGAGGTCCCCAAAGGAGTCCCAAAGATGTTGCTGCCAGGCCTCTGCTGAGATCATCAGAACAACATTCATTCCCTACTGTATGGCTTTTAATTTCAGTGCAAGAACAGAAAGTCAGCAGATCCTTGTGTGCCGCTTACCTCGAAGGTTGGCTCCACTTCAATTTGAAGTAATGGACTGTCTTCCAGGCTTTAAAGAAAACAAACACAGTGAATTACTAAGCCTTCAAAGCCAGGAGCAATGATCGCACAGATAGGGTCATGATCTTAAACCAGACTTCCACTTCTCTATCACTAATGGTGAATAAGAAATCGCCCCAGGCAATCTGAGAAGCTTTCATACAGTGATGTTAATGTTTTTGCCCCTCTTTCTAAACACGAAAAAACGTACTACTGTAAGCATGTCTAGCTAGTTACTTTTCTGGAAATACTTAGAAAGGTGTTTTAGACTAAGGACAAGGCAAAGTTTTTGGCTCTCAAATTATTATATATTTATCCTGCTTCTTTTTCAAGGAGTTCAGGGGAGCACATGTATTTTATTCTTGTGAAATAGGATAGGCCGATTTACAACAAATACTCTAAAGTGCACTTGTCAATACTTTTTTTAGGAGCCCCTGGTGGCGCAATGGTTTAAACCCTTGTTTGAATCTGGGGAGAGTGCGGATGATCTCCTGTCAGCTCCAGCTCCCCATGTAGGAACATGAGAGACGCTTCCCACAAGGATGGTAAAACACCAAAACATCCAGGCGTCTCCTGAGCAACGTCCTGGCAGACAGCCAATTCTCTCACACCAGAAGTGACTTGCAGTTTCTCAAGTCATGCCTGACACGGAAAAAAACCTATGTTTGATCTAAGCTTTGCATTAGGGGGAGTGTATAAAAATGTGTATCTTAGAAAAACGCTCCCCAAATGCATATAATTTGGAAAAAATACTAACAAAATCTACATACAAATTTTAATGTGCAGAAAAAAATCTCACTAACCAATATAAACTAGAACAGAATGAGATTAATAGGCTTTCACAAAATGTTGGTGAATTTTCAAATCCATGGGTCAGTATACAAGGAAACCAACCATCTGGAGCAGTGGTTCTCAAACTGTGTTCCTCCAGATGTTTTGTACTTCAGCTCCCACAATTCCTGGTAATCTGGCTGGGATTTCTGGGAGTTAAAGTCCAAAACACCTGGAGGAGGACTGTTTGAGAAACACTGATCTGGAGGATTAATGGGACTGGTGTTTGTGAGGAAGCTCTAGCATTGGACGTCTTCCTGAAAGCTAAATTGAAGGGCCTATAAAGCCATCTCCAACTATATGATTCAATACTTCTAATGCTTCCACTTTAACAGGATGCCTGATCTGTTTCTTCCCAATGTTTTTATTTTGTCTCCACATAGGAGTTGTCAAACACCTTCCAAGTTTTCCTGGAAATAACTGGAGAATAGCTTCAGGGAAATTGTTTCAACTCTAGAAGTACTGCTACATGCTACATGCAGTTTCTACAGAAAGCAATGTCCAAGAATTACAAAATTCTGCTTTCTTCTCACTGCCTTCAACAATGCAAGCCGTCATTACTGCAAAGTATTACAGCATTGACAGACAAAAAGAACTTTGTACCATAATCCATATCATTGTCAAAGTCAATGTAATTGCACTAAACATTAAATGTTACAACTAGAATCACTAGACCAAACATTCATATCTTGCAAGTCTGCCTGATGGAAGGTTAGTCCAAACCCTGTCTTTAGCATTTATCATCATCGAGCTTTTTGAAATATGGCATGCTGGTGATTATGATGTTCATCTGGAATGAAATTCTTGTTTGACTCAGTCAACTGTGCCACCTATTTGATGATACACATTCTGAGATGAAACTGTGTTGACTGATTTACCAACAAAATGTCTACATAATGACCAATGAGGTACATAGGTGGAGTCAGGGTTCTTCGGTACTTCAAGAGCACCTTCCCCGTAGAGTGCCATACATCATTTACAATTCATCACTTGAGAGAGTATTAACAAGTGTGCTTTCCTGACATCAGATGCTTGGTCACCTCCTTTTATGAGTGTAAAGGTTCTCAGTTAAAACTCAGTTAAAATGGTATCCTTTAAAAATCTACACTTATACGTTTAAACGTGTAAAAATTAGTACATTAAGGAAAGCACATAAAATGGGTAAATAAAGAAGACACCAAAATATGCACATCTTGCAAAAATGATATATAATCCAAATGGGACGACAACGCTGGTGGAATTGGGAGAACTAGTCAGAAATAATGATGAATGGAGATAAGTCAAAATAGATTTTACCAATTTGCTGCTCCTGTTGAATTTGTTGAACTATTGCATCACAGCTACAATTTCAGTCACTTAAAAACATTAAGTTCAAAACACATCTGGCTTAGGAAACTATAATATGCAGGCTGCAAGTACAGCTTTTAGCTCATATCTTTTAGATATTAGTACTATTCATTTTGACACTGTCAAAACTCTATATTTATTCCATTATAATTGGTGCTTCTTTTATGCTTTTAATTTATTGTGCACTTGTAATAGTGTTTTATTGAATTTGTTTGGGTTTTAAGCCTACTTTTAAGTCTAACATTTAGAGCTCACCTACTTTGGTTTTTTGTAGTCTTCCTATTCTTAACCAACTTCCTATACATCTGCCTTGTTGCTTCTTGATCTTTATTGTTTTAAATGTGGATCAGGTTGGTTCTGCTTGCTATTTTAAACCAGGAGTAGAGGTGCAATGAAAATGCAACTGACAGGTTTCTCCATCTCTAGAGAAATGATAGTCACAAAAGAGAGGCAAATGAGATGATGAAGATTGGACAGCTCTCTTGGGCATCCTCAGTAACTTGTGGAGACCAGTTCTGATGCCAATACTAGTGTTGCCTCCAAAGCTGTCCTTAGAAAGGTTCTCAAATTGTATTGTTTCTTGAAAACAAGCAGAATGAACTACTCGGCTTAACAGTGGTGAAATATATGTGATTGCAGATTCAATTTTTCACTCGCATTTCACTGATTGTCAGCTAAGCTCCCAGAGGACTATAACCAGAAACTGCAGTAATAGCCCAGGCATGAGCCGCACAAGGCTGTCCACATAATATCGTTTCTCTGCTTCTCTCCAATAGATATTTTGGAGGAGAAAGTGAGTACAGATTAATATGTTCATCTTCTAAAGAAAAGTGAATCTGGATTCCATGGTCACCAATGAGTGCTGTGTTGGGAGATGTTTTGCATCTGAAGTAAACAAATAAGCAAAATAACTATGTTCTGTTCTGATATTCATATTTTACCTTTAGGAGTAGAAGGCATTTGTAATAAGTCGGATTTGTTGTGGGCAATGGCTTACAGGCAACTAAAAGATTGCTTTATTGTGTTTTGGGGCAAAAATAGTTTGGAAATAGCACATTTAATCACACAATTTAACATGCTGAGGAAAGGGATAACCTTTCCCTCAATGCTGCAATTCTGATTAATATTAACATTTCAAAATAATATGCAGAGATCTTATTTATGAAGTTTTTGTCCATCCCATGTCGAGTTTAAGAGAAAAAGAGAAGATTAGGAGGGGAATAATGGTTAGAATAAGACTGAGAAGCTTGCTACTCTCACACTAATGTCATATACATTGAAAGGACCAGAGAGAATGTAGGATGGTGGAAGGCCAAAATGGAAAAGGTGGTAGAAGAGCAGGAAGCCCTCTATAAGCAATCCATCACCTCAGAGCTCAGTCAAGTGAGGCATGAATGGTCTCTTCCTTGCAGAGGAGGGAACAAAGGACAGAAATAAGGGTGGGAGGAGAGGAAGACAGAAGGAATTGGCAGAAAGGAAGAAAAAAAGACGTAGCCCAAGACAAGAGAGTGTGGAGACAACTCTATCAGCAGGGTTATTCTAAGAATAAAATAAGATGGGGAAGAACCATATAAAGATGAGAACCATATAAAGTACAAAATTAAATCAATCAGATTAGGATTATGATGGTGCATGGATCTATGTAATTTCTTCTTCATCTTTTTCTTCTCTCTCTCTCCCCGTGTTAGTATGCATAAGCTGTCCCACGAGGCCATGACTGCTAAGTGCAAAATGCTGCAGCCCAGGGGATCTGTCACAGCCAAAATGACAGATCAAGCTTGTACAAGAAGCAAGACTTCTCCAGTAAAATCCCTCATGTCCTCTCCAAATAAGCAAAGGGGGTTAGAAATCATCCAATATCAAGATTTAGGAGAAATGTCAAGAATCAAGCCAAAACCAAGACACTTCTATACAAGAGAAAAGTCTTCCACTCAGGTGGAGCAGAAACCATCCAAAAGTGACCCTCAGCTGTCAACAGCATCTCAGAGGGGAAGCGCAAGTAAGCAAGAGAGCAAATCTGGAATTCATTTACTTGAAAGTTAACACAAACATCCACAAAGTCAGAATTGGCTTCAGTAAGAACTGGATGAGGGGAGGACACATTCATTTCTCAAAGCAAGAATTAGGTTGGCAATTCATTCTAAGCCCCAAGTTTGAGCAGTCAAGGATTTTTTTTTAATCTCCACTGCGTAAACAGCTGCCACTCTGAGCTTTTTTCCTTCTCAGAAGTCAATTACTCTGGCCTAAAAGCTGGGGAAGAGGCTTTCCAGTGGGACTGACAAGTATGTCACATCATGAGGCCTTCCCCACTAGGTGTTTGGTTTGACCTTTCCAAGTTGCAAGCAGGATCGAAATCCAGGGATCCAGCTATGCTTCTGTGTTCTGCTGTTACTTCTCAGGAAGTTTTCCAAGTTTGGAATAGTACGGGGAATGTGACTGGAATTCACATACGAAGTGTGGAGCTCTAAAACGCAGCCATGCCTTTCCTTATGGGTGCATTCATGCTTTGTTGCTCACAGCCCCATTCTGTGCCATTTGATTGGGGTCTGGAGGAGTCTAGACAACTCCCAACACTTTTGCTTTGTCAACAGTCCCTTTTGATATCAGCTGGCGAAACAAACAGCTTTGCCTGACATGCAATTTTATACTACACAAATATTCTTTTGAAACTACACATTTCCCCCTAGAATTGCACATTTTGTGCTTGGTTAGATTAAAAGAAATAAAAAGCCCTTCTTCAGACATATAAGAAAGGAGGTATTCATGTATTTTTCTCTGTGTTGTAGCCAACTAAAAGTGAAACTTAGTATATTTTCCTGTGCAGAAGATGCAGGAATATCATCTCATGTTAATGATTTGGGAGGGTTATGGAAATCAATCCAATATGAACTGGTTTTCTTGCCCCTCCTGTGTTAAAGAGCAGGTCAGAGTTTAGTTATAAACTATTTTCTCCATCCTTTTTCCTTTGTGCTGCAACCTTTTAGTGCAGCTGAAGACTTGGTTTCATTGGTTCTACAGAAATCATTGTAGAAGGCTTCAAAAATGCAGGAAAATGTCTTTAACACACATAAAAATAAAATATTTGAATGCAGATCCAGAAACCGCACAGATGAACATGGAAATGGGACAGAATGTACCAGAAAGAGATTGATTTATCCCTCTCAAGGTACAATAGCAAATGTGTGAATGCAGACCAGTTGGCCACCCAGCCTGGCACAGTTCAGTCTGATTGACGGTGGCTGTCTGAAAGTCAGACAGAAATCTTTTCCATCACATGATGCCCATTAGGGATTGATGCTAGTCCAGTTTGTACCTGTTGTAATGCAATAGGAAGCCAAATGCAATCTGTGGCTAGAAACCTGCACTTTTGTAAAATTCTGGTGGAATTCACAAAACGCACCACCCTGAAATACAAACATTAGTGTGCATTCAAAAATGCATGTATTTGTAAAATGCACAAAATTACAAATTAGTAATAGGAAAGGCCTTTGACTCTGAACTGCATCATTAAGCCAAGTTTCATATCTTAAAGCACATGCTCCATTTTCTATACTGGTCTAAGAGCTATTGCTTCTATCAAAGAAACCTTGGAATTCAGTATGAATATTGGGATAGTGTGGTAGAATAAAGAAGTTGTTTAAAATAAGTTGTTAGTAGGTATTATATTTTCATTGTATGTCTTGAAGGTGAGGGATGGGCACTCCCATTTTTACTTTTTTGATCATTGTTTTTAGGTGGGAGAGGGTGGGGAAGATAGTTTCAATGAGTGTATTGATAGTATACATGATGTATTGGAAAATGACTGACTTTACAAATTAAGCACCCACAGATGTGCAGATGAGGGTTACTTACATGGTGCTAGAATTCACTGGATGGAGAACAACTTGGGGTGTTCGGGTAGATGTCTCAGGCACAATTTCTGAAAGAAAGAAGAATCCCATTCAGAACAAAAAGGAAAGCAGAACATTCCCATGCTTAACAAAGGCTAAAGATGGTAAATAACCATACAGGAAAGCATCCTGTATGGTTATTTTGTAACAAGCAAATATGATTCTGTGCCAAAGGAAAACAGGCCACCTGATCATGGCTGTGTCTGTGGACAATGAAATGTGAAGAGCATTTTTAGATCATGTGGAAAACTTTGCAAAGCCATTTAGCTCATTCATTAATTCCATTTACACCCCACATTTCTTCCCATAAATCTGGGGTGGCATATACAGCGCTTCTCCTCCCCATTTTATCACCACAACAGCTTTGTGAAGTTGGTCTCTTTCAATCTGTGCCTTTCATGGCTCATGAGCAAGACATACAAAAATATGTATTTGAAAAAGATTATGTGCAATTTAAATGTGATTTTGGGGTTCAAAGATATATAAATTACAGGAAGTGAAATATACAGATGCTTGGACTCACATCATACCAACACAGACTGGAAATATATAATTCATCCAGAACCTGCTGGTTCTAGTCCCCACATGGATGAGGCAGAGGGGCAGCTGGGCAAGAAGTGACAATGTTTTTCTTAAAACACATGGAAACTGGGGGTGATGGTAGTCAGTGCTATCCTGAATGCTCTCCCATTTTTTCACATTTACCAAACATCTGAAAAAGCCAAAGCCAAGAGGGAGTGAAGCTGTGTTTAGTGAAGTGTGATAGGAGAGAGACTCCACAGTACATCTAAAGGCAGTCCATTATCAGTGTTTCTTATTTGTCACATTTATATCCTGCCTTTTCTCCAAAGAGGTCAAAATGGAGTACATGGGCATTCTACCTTTGTTAATCCTCATGACAAGCCTGTGACATCAACTGGGCTGAGAGGTGGCAGCGACTGCTTCAAGTCACATGGGGAGCTTCAAGGACAAGCGGGGATTTGGTCGCAGCACCAACACTATAACCATGTTAACATTGTGTGAGATCTCATGGCAAAGCTCTGAGAAGCAAGAACCCTTTTAGATCAACTTACCCGGAAAGACAAATTCCTGCTTGGACTTGTAGTACTGGGATGACAAAGGGGCACCTTAGAAAGGACAAAGAGGAACACAAAGAGGTCTGAAGTCAAACAAGAATGAGGCTTGTAAAAACAACACCACGATAATACTAGTAATTTACTCTTCTCAGTTCTAGGCTGGAGAGCAAAGTTGTGTGATATATAAAACAAAAATAACTGATGATTTTTGTATTGTGGTATTATCCGTTTTTTCCCTAGCCAAAACATCTATCTGTTTGTTTAAAGCATCCATGTATTGCAAATAATTCCATATGAAACACAAATCATAATGCAGTGGCTAAAGCACCATTCCCACTGACACCTACTAAGTCCCATTAAATATGATGGGAATTACTTCTAAGTAAACATGGACGGGACGGAGGCTGCAAAGCAGAGTCATTTGAAAACATTTGTTCTCCATGTGAAGGAAAAGATGGCACACCCTCCTATTTCACATACAAAAGCTAACTTGTCTGTCTTTTTCATCTTTCTTCAACACAAATGGTGGGACAGCATCCTATGCTACACCTAAAGGCAGCTAGCTAGCATAAGGGGTTACAAGACACAGGCAGGGCATAAATGTCTGCTTTTAATATCTAGAATCACAGAGTTGGAAGAGTCCACAAGGGCCATCCAGTCTAATCCCTTGCCATGCAGGAATACACAATAAATGCAGGAATACACCCACCCCACTCTGCCTACTGCTGTAAAGGAAGTATGTGCAAGAACATACCTGAAGGGTAAACGCAAATTGCCTAGTCTGGAACTGAGAGTAATGCAGGGGGCAATGCCAATCGTAGGCCAACAAGAACCAAACATCTGGAAGCTATCAACATTCATTTTTTTTGGCCAAGGAATCACAGCAAGCCAAGAGCAAAAACTCCCCAAATGATCAACTTTCCCCCATTGAACTGAATGTCGTTCACTTTATACTGCCATTTCACAATGGGGTCTCACCATTTTTTTTTCTTTTCTCTCTTAATAATTCCTCCTAACCTGCACAGTTAATATGAGTCTTGGGGAAATAAAGATCTGTGACAGAGGAGCACAGATTTCCATCACGGCAATCACATCAGTTCCCCTAATAATCTATTATGCTCACAGTTATTTCAGAGAAGCGATGACAGTTTGGCAGGTAGAAAAGTGAAAAGTGCCGGCAGTCTAAATGCACCCCTGCCATGCCCGTATAACAGTAAATCTGATGAGTTCAACTTCAAACACACAAATATGTAAAAAAGACCAATTGAGAACAGGGTTTTGAGTCAATTCCCAGGCTCCAACAAACACTATTATGTAGCATGTCCATTGTAGCAGCTATATTAAACCAGACTGAGCTATTCTGAGTATTTCTGGACTAAGGAGAAGATTTTTTTTCACCCCCTGTTTGCTTTTACAGGGTCATCAGTCCACCAAGTGCTTCCTGACAGAGCTTCCTTTCTACTGACTGTTTCCTTCAATTGTCTATTCTAGCTCCTTAAAGTGGACTATGACGGGAAACTCCTACAAATTTGTTAGGAAAGGAGCCCTATGGCATTTTAGAAGTTAACACATTTGTTATAGCATGGGTTACACATAATAGAATATGTAACCCAGTTGATAAATTGCATGATCTTTTATCCAGAATGTCATAAATATACACAGTCCCTACAAACTTCCATCTCAAAATCACCTTTCCCAGGCAGCTGAGAAGGACAGGAGAAATAGTCCATATATATTTAGCATAACAGGAATCCAGTCTGCAATGACGATCCAAGGCAATAAACTACCAGGATTTTAGACATAACAATTTGTTGTATTAACCAGTAAAGCCCCCAATTTTCTGATTCAGACTTGTAAAGCTTAGTCCTATTGCAAATCAATAGAGTCTTTCCAAGGAGCTCATAATACAAATACAGCTCCTGACTGAATTTGTACAGCTCATAATGCTTTTCTGTATAATGAACTGAGCATCTCCTGGAGAAACTTGTAAATAATACAAATTCAATTCTGGATTGAATTGATCCAGCTCATAAAGCTTTGGCCATCTTACAAATAGGGCCACAAGAAACTCATAAATACCCATCTAATTCTTAATCAAGCTAAAGGCAATTTGTTTATCGCTAGTTGTAGTTTCATGAAATGGTGCCAGGTAACCAAGCTGTAAATCCAGGGTATAATTTAAAAATACAGAAGGGATTCAGGCTGTATTTCTAGGACTCTTCTTGAAATGCAACCAAGCATGCCTGAAAATGGATGACTGCTTGGGGGCTTTCAAGGACACACAGGAGGGTTTGATAAATTTACAATTTCTGGTGTTTCTTCTCCTGCTGGTGAAAATTTGCTATCTTGGCTTCTAATAAAGGCCATACACTTGACTGTGTTGACTGACTGTGAGAAGACTGTTGAAAGACGACTGATGATAAGAAATACCCTCTTTTTAGCATGGGGGAGGCAATGGAGCCATGAGCGGGCCAGATTAATGGCAGAAACAAATAGATTTGCTCTGCCCTGTCTGTGTGCAGTGATCAGAGAAGGGAGAACAAGGTGTTATGCTTCATAGGGAACATTTTTTAAAGAACAGCCTTATACCAAATCCATCTAGTTCAAAACTTTCAGTAATGAGGGCACTGGCTGAGACTTTCCAGGCTTCAGGCAGAACTAGGAATGTAAATGCTGAACCTAACATTTGGAAGAGAAATGACCAGAAGGGGCACAAAGCAGTAAGAGCCAACAAGAGAAGACATTAAATGATATGGCACTAACTGGCACAAGTCACCACTCCTCAGGGATATTTATTTGGTCCTACCTAAAAGAGGTTTGCCATTGTTCTGTGATGTTTAATGAACTTATTTATTTCATTAGGAGACTTATGCTCTTTTAATATGTCTGTATCACAAAGGGTTCAACGTCACTCATCTCCATGCTCTTTAGAAAGCCCTTGAGGCCTGGCACTTGTCAGACAGGACCCAACATCTCTTGTGCAAATGACCTTAACAGGCACAACTCAGATTAAAGCAGGTACCTGGCACATTGCACTGTTTCTGTTGCCGCAAGCACTGCGGGGAGGGGTGCAAGGGAGGAGGTGGAGTGGCACTTGGTGGCAGAGGAGGAGCTGGCGAGGAAGGGGTGGATGAGGTGGTTGAGGAGGGATTGCTGCTGGAATCAGGCTGGTAGGGTGCTGGGATGTTATCCTGCAAAAGAAGGAACAATGACCAGGTGTGCACACAACATAGAGCATTAGTTCTGCCATATCTCACTCTCTCTGAAGATGCACTTGAGAATACAGGAATGCCAAAATGTCTGAAAGAAAAAGTAAGAAATGACAGAGGGGAAAGCAAAAAGGGAGAGGGGAAGGTATCAGAAAGGGAGAGAGGAAGGAATGAGAGGAAGGAAAGGGAGAGGAGAGGCAACAGAAGGAAAGCAGACTAGCCCTGTGCTCCCCATCCCATCTGCACACTGCAAGCATGACAGTCACCTCTATGTATACTGACCTCGGTGTGCAGACCTCTTTGCAAGGTGTCTGCATGGGGGGCTAGGGGTTAGACCAGGATCCCACCTAATGTCTACATGAGTCAACATGGAGAACTCCTTTTGGCACTTGCCACACCTGTAGACTGTAAGGCAGTAACCAGCATAGATATCATTGGGTGCAATATCAGTTTCCTCCAATGTTTGTTTGTACACTCGATAATTGCTACAAATTCAAGACCCTTTCACAGAATTATTTTAAGTGTTTGGGCTCTTCTGTGGCAACTCATGACAACTGCAACACTAACAGAGCTTTTCAGACCCTTGAGCTCAACCTTCTCCAACCCAATAGCTTCTCAATGCATGGACTTACAATTCCCATCATCTTCTGCCAGCATGCTTGGAAGTGGAGTCAATTAATCTGTCTCTGCTATAGCATGCACATGGGCAGACACTCACCCTTTTCTACATGCTGATAACATACTGCCCTTACCATTGGCTCTACCTTCTTAGCAATGCTCCTCCTTATGCAACTTAATTTTAAAGTTTAAATGTATAAAAAATGAGGATTATCCTCTAGCTTTGAAAGCTTTCCTCACACCCTTTTTTTGAGGGGGGGGGGGGGTAGCAGCCAGGGATGCTGGGGCCATTTAAACAACAACAAGGTTGCTTTAATTCCTAGGGGGCTTGCAACCTTTCAGCTTAATTTGCCCAGAAAGAAATTCTCACTTGTGCAACAAGGCAGCTGAATAGCAAACGCTCCAGCTTGTGTGACTGAAGAACCCCCCTCTCACCAACAACACTAAAAACCCAAAGCATTTGGGGCAGGGAGGAGGGAAGAAAAAGCAAACACCCTCCCTGTCCCATTCTCCAGAGGAAAAGTCCAAGTCAGCTTAAGTTACTCTCCATTGATCATTTCTCATGGGCCATTTAACTTAACGGAGGCAACAGAGGGCACTTCAGGGTAAAGCCAACAGACGGGAGTTTTGCACAACGTCGCACATTCTCAATGCAGCTCCGTGGGGAGTACTGCCCGCCAAATGCTCAATGCTGCTGCAGAGAGAAGTGTCTTCTAACATAGGCAAAAGACATTGGCAGAGGATAAGTAGAGATCAGCGTTGGCTCCAGACTGAGGGTGGGAGTAAAATCTCTGCAAGATTTCCCTCAAAGGAACACAGGAAGCTGCCCTGTACTGATTCAGATAACTGTTTTTTCCCACCCCAATATTGTCTACATTGGCTGGCAGTGAGCCTCAAGGATTTCAGATGGGCTTCTTAGTACTGGGTGGGATCCCATGGTTAGAAATACTCAATGACAGTGTGACTCAAAGTGGTGATCCATGGATCGCTGACAGTCCATAAATCATAAGAGGTTGGGATGCTTCAACTATGGATACTGGCAGGGCCGTAGCCAGAAAAAAAATTCGGGAGGGGTTGACATTTTTGTAGGGGGGGGGGTTAAAATTTTCGCCGGGGGAGGGGGGGGTTGAAACCTGCCTCCTAGCTCACACTGAAGCAAAGAGCACAGCAGGGGGCAGAGCAGCCTTCAATAGCCTGCAGCTCTGCCCCTGTCAACCACCCCCACCAAGTCTGGCCTCCTTAATTTATTTATTTATTTATTTATTTATTATTCGAACTTATATGCGGCCACTCCCCTGGGGCTCAGAGCGGCTTACAAGAACAGGCTAAAATCTAACACAATTTAAAAACAATTTAAAACAATTTAAAAACAGCAATATCAGAGATCAAAGGCCTGTCGAAACAGGTATGTCTTACATGCCCTGCGGAAAGCTGATAAGTCCCGCAAGGCACGGACTTCAGGTGGCAGAGTATTCCAGAGTGATGGTGCCACTGCTGTAAAGGCTCTGCGTCTGGTTGCTGTTAGACGCAAGGTCTTGACACTGGGGATTTCCAATAGATCTTGGTCCTCAGAACGGAGGGATCTCTGGGGTTGGTAGGGGGTGAGGCGGTCCCTCAGGTACATCGGCCCCAGACCATGCAAGGCCTTAAAGGTGAGTACCATCACCTTTAATGAGAGCATTCAACCCCCCCCCCCCCCAACTTGGTTGCTTCACTACATCGGCTATTGCTGCAAGTAATGACAGTGTGAATAAATTGTCAATATTTGCTTGAGATAGTGCTTGCAGTTCTGGAGGGACTTTAATTTTTTGCATCTCATAGACTTAGCATGGGGATTTGGTTAACCAGTTAAAATTCATGAGTAAACCAGGTTTTTTTTTAAAAAATCTGAAACATTTCGGGGGGGGGGGGGGGTGAACCCTAACCCCCCCCCCCTCGCTACAGGCCTGGATACTGGTACCAGCAGAAGGCAGGGCTAGATGACCCTTGGGATCCCTTCTAACATTATCAATGCCATGATTCAGCTGTATCTGAAGAAAGCAATATAGACTATAAGGAATTGAAAGACTGAAGAAAACAATTCTAAATTTATTATTAAAATTATCATAATGTGGACCTTGATTTCCATGGTGTCCATGAGAGACTGAATTTTCCACTTCAAACAATGACCTTTGTTCTTTTATCAGCTTTGAAAAATAAAAGAAAAACCTTGCTAGTGGACGGCATCCACAGAGATTGCAAAGGAAGACTGGCTTGAAATATTGAAATGCATTCATTCATTCTTATGTCTTAACACATTTTAGAAATTAGAGAAAGGCGGGGAAGAGCAAATTTGGAAAATAGCCAGGGAAAGGAAGGAGGTGGGGAGAGCACAGTTTGTATAAATGCCACACAGGTGGAATGCAAATATATGCAAATAAGACCTATACTTTATGTACATCAGGGCCCTCTATTTTGAGGCTCTGAAGAATCTGAAGCAAATGGTTTCATGGCAACTCTGATGGCTGGCAAAAGCCTGCTTCTTCAGTTCTGCCACCGTAGCATTAGTATAGTGGTAACAATTCAAGGGAATACAAAGCCTTAAGACTAGAACTTGCCCAAAGGGGTGTAGTAAAATCCTGTCTCCTCTTCAAGGATAATCCAGGAGCTGCTTTATATAATATAATCCAATAATACCTTGTAGTTGTTGAGTGTCTTCAAGTCATTCTGAGTTATGGCTATCCTAAGGCAAACCTATCATAGGATTTCCTGGCAGTTATGATTCAGTTATTACAAGCAGGAATTAAGTTTTTAAATATTGTAACTAATGGCTTCTAAATCCCACCACAGTCTCAAACCATGCCTCATTGTTTAGAGTGCTAAACTATACCATTTGGCCTTTTCAGATCTAGAAACCAGCCGTAGTCAAGCATACAACTGAGGATACAGCTCTTCATTTTTGTTTTCACCATAGACTTGATATACTGCTGTGTTACAGTTCACTTTAGGTCAATCTGTGACACACATCCCTGGATGAAAACCAATGATACAAGCCTTGCTAGGGAAGAAATAGCATGACTTCCTCAAAGGGAAGCTGTAACACTGAAAGCCTTTAGAGGCATGCAGATGCGGTGATCACTTAAATATTAATGACAAAGGAAGCTGGCTTAGACAAGTTCAGATTATTTGTCCATCTAGCTGCAATATTGTCTGTTCTTTCAGGAAGGGGCTTTCTAGTGTCTCAAGTAAAGAGAGGTGTGTTTTCCCTCCTCCTCATTATCTAATACTTGATCTTTTATTTTTTTATTTATATATTTGTTAAAACAGGCATAAAATATATGTGTTTATTGCATACAGTGTTATATTTTCATGCTACTGATAATTCACTCACATTTCACATACAGTATCTTTATTTAGGGAGCCTCTGACTTCTGTTTGGGTAGGGCAGATAAGAGCATCATAAATTCTAAGTTGGTAATAAATTCCTCTTTGCCTACAGCTTTATAGGATCCCCAGGAAATATTTTTATATCTAGTTTAACTTTACTTTTATATTGATCATTTCAATTGGAAATGACAGATATTGAAACAGAACCTCCTGCATGCAAAGAATGTGCTCTGCCAGTGGGTTACAGATGGTCCCATCTAAAAATCACCAGCCCCAAAAAGATAGGTGATATGGGGATGTTACTGAAAACAGCATCTCTCAGTTCAGTTCCTTCTGTTCTTGCTTTTTCATCATGGATGGAAAATGACCTAGTATAAACATGCTAACACTTTCATTTTTGTTCTCCAGCTTAACACCTGTCTGCCTTTCACTTGGGTTGGAGTTAACATGGAGTTAAGTCATCTTACATGTTACAGAGAGCACAGATTCAGCACAAAGTTGCCCAATGGTGCCCCATATCATATATAATGCCTAGATCTCAAGTTCCAGGTCCCTGTTACTCTCTTTCATCACCTAGTCCTGGCATCCTCAAACTGTGGCCTTCCAGCTGTTTGGGCCTTCAACACCTAGAATTCCTGACAATTGAACAAGCTTGTTAGGGCTTCTGGGAGTTGGAGGCCCAAACAGTTGGAGGGCCGCAGTTTGAGGATACCTGACCCGGTCCCTCTCCCCCCACCCCCACCTTTCTCTGCTTGCTCCCCAAAGGAACCTTGTCAGATTCTTCTGCTGATCAACCAGCCTGCTGCAAAGAACTCCCCCATCCCTACTCCTCAACAGCTTCTAATTTAGCGTCTACTAGATTTGCTGAAATATATACCAGCCCCTTTGAGATTTGAATTGGCAGGCATGCCTGGAAACCCACAGAGCCATCTGCAAAACTCTGGCCCAGCAGATGGCTGAACAGACCAGCAAGTAAACTGGGAGATGCTATTTCAAAGCAGGAGAAAAATAATAATAACTGGCCAATTTCCTCCACTCCACCCCAAATTTGTTTTACTGTTCCTGTTTCCATGGCAGACAAGGAAGGCTCTCTCCTTCACTCAGTCTCCCCCCACCTGGTTCCAGTGATGGGAATAAACAGAAATTTAGTCTAGGGCATTAAAATGCCTCCTTGCATCTTGGGAGATCAGGACTTGGCCACTGGCTAAGAAGTGGGTGGGTACCTCAGCCTAATTTCAGTTAAAGACAGTTTCAGTTATGTTGGCTCCTACATCTGTTACTTCTCCTCTCCAGATTAATTTGTGTACCATTTTCCTTAATAATGTAATATCAGGTTCAAGTGAAATATAAATTACATCATTTTGTGGAAGCTACTGTAAAATATACTTTTGTAAAACTAAAGACACCATCATGAAATGTAGAGAAGGGTGAAATTAGGATAATAATCACTCTCTGGTCGACATATCTGTTGATAGTACATTGTTATGCTTCAAATGCAGCCTGGGTGGAACTTGCAGGAGGCCATTCAAGAAGGTCAGAGCTCCAAAATATGAAGAACCAGTCTCCTTCAAGTCACATAATTTCTCATACATTCATCTGCCCTTTTTAATAATAATAGCCTCTGGAACTTTATGTAGCAACATTGTTGCAAGTCTGACTGATGATGTGATAGTCTATATTAGTCCCATTTATAGTTACTTTCCTTCCAATAAGCTCAAGATGGCCTATTGCTTTCCTTCTGAGAGGCATTACCAGGACCAAGGCCACCTAGACAGTCCCATGGTTCTGAGTGAGCTGCACCTGGATCTCCCAAGCCCTAGTCTCACACTCTAATAACTACACCGCATGGGCTTCCTGTTTGCTTATTTGCATTCCCTTGATTTGTTTATGAGACCAAGCCAAAAAGTAACTTAATGGAAGCCGCTTCATAACATCTCACCTTGGTGATTTTGTTGGTTTTGGGAAGGGTCTGGCTAGCATGCAGATTGGTATATTTGGGGGGCCTCCGCAATGGGTTGTTAATATCACATGGCACAGATTCCGTCCGGACTAATCTTGCTGGATCATAAAAAAGAGAAAGAGAAAGAGAGGATTTAACTCAGCATTTAGTGCAGAAATATAAAGGATAACTTTCTGTGAAGCCCTAGGAATTTATTATCTCAAAACCAAATTAGTAAACACAGTTCTCATCAGCTTAGATAAATCTATAAATCTGCAAACTACATGCCACTATACTTTAAAGCCAGGAGTATACTCCTTTTTTGGCTACAGTTCTCAGCATCACTCAACACAGTATAAAAAGTAACATTCCCTATTACTGGCATACTTTGGCTCTCCTACTAGGAACATGGGACATTCCACGTGTTGTTGCAGCTCCCATTCTTCTTCACCACTGGTGCTGTTGGATAGAGCCAATGCATGCTGTAGTCCAACATCTGGAGAACTCCATATTCCCCTTTCCAGGTCTGAGTAATGGTGGCCATCTAATATTATATGACAACTGTTTAACTGGAAGAACTGGGAATTGAATTGCGGATCTTCTGCAAACAAGACATGTTTTTGTATCATGGAATTACCATACTTCTTTTCATCTAATTTGTCTCATTGCTTTGTTAGATCCAAAGAAGCCTAGATCTATCATGTGTCAATCAACATGCCCTTTGAGGCAACTTTATTAGGCTTCGCACCTTTCATTTGAAATTACACACTCTCTCCATATAAACAAACACACAAAGTCCATATAAACAAACCAGATTTCATGTCCATAAGGAGTCTGTATTGTTTCTGTTTTGGTAAAGATAATGGCTCTGAACTGCCTATTCAAGACCAATGTACCACAAAATCATTTGCATTACAGAAAGGACGGCTTACAATATATTGTCACTCAGAAGATTAATTCCCCCCTCCATTCCCACCTTTACCTATTGTGAGGATTGCAATAAAGCTGTGAGAGAACAAAAAGCCCGGTACAGGAAGATGGGAGCAGAACCAGGGGATATTTTCATCCTTTCTAATAAAGAAGTCCCAGTGCATCAACATTGTGAAACCTAGCTCTATTGCAACACTAGATCAATGCCTCAGTACAGCCTTGCCCAAATCTGGATCCCTCATATTGTTTTGAACACAACTCTCATCATCCCTGGTGATTGAGTCATGCTAAATGGAGAGGACTGGAGCTATAGTCCAAGAACAATTGCACATCCATGGTTTAAAAAGGCTGCCCTATTAAATCCTAAGGCATAATCCTCTTTGATTGGTTTGCTTTCTCAGAGAAGGACATAAAATGGAGATCATTCACTTACAAGCATCAATGAAAGAGAGAAGTAGGATCTTCATGCTGTTAACTTATGAGGTGCTTCTTGGATGATGCACAGATATGACATTAATTATAATCTATCTATCATCGCTTTAAGGAATTACTTTCATATAACCCTAAGCACACTATAATAATCATTGTAAATACACAGTGAAAGTGTATGTGGGAGTAATCTCTCTTTTTTTCAGAGAAGGATAAGCATTCTGGACTGTGTCCATTGCACATGCATATTTTTGGACAATTCTCACCAAATGTTATCTTTCTTTGCCCTTTATTGGTGCTGAACCAAATTCCCTCGACCATTTGTTTGTCATACTATAGTTGCACAAGATTCCATTTTTTGTCATTGCTGTTGTAATATTTTGCAGTCTGTTATGACCTTAACCATCACAAATCATTTTTGCCATCCGTTCGTTGGCTGCCCTTTCCAGATGGTTAATTAATATGTTGAATGATCAGGTCATAATCCAGGCTGTTGACGCGCTCCAGGCTTCAATGTGAAACTGACTCTAGGTGCCAACTATTTGCTTCTCTGTCTTTTCAGCCAATTGCAGATCTATGCTAGGACCTGGTTTCTTATCCTATGACTTCCATGCATAGGGCAGAGTGTCACCCCTGCTTGAGCCTGGCTAAACATTTTCTTGTCTTCATTTAAAAAATCTTGCCATTCAGGGATGGGGAGACTGGGAACTTCCAGATTCTGGTGATCGATGACTGGGGACATTGGTTAGAACTGGTAGGAGTTGAACTGCAACAGTATCAGGAGAGCCACAGGTACTTCACCTTTATTGTAGTTACTTACACTTGCTCCCATGCTCTCATTCTCTATCCTCTGTTCCCAATACTGTGCGTCTTTTGCCAACAGGCATTTGGAGAAGGATGAGAAGCAGGCTTTGGGGAGGTTAGGTGGGATTGGGGGGGGGGTGAGTTTAAAACGCCATTTTAAGTGTATTTATTGTATTTTAATTCTGTTTTTACCATACTGTTACTATTTGATTTTTTTTAACTTTTGTATTACGCTCTTTAAACTTGTCCAGTGTGGGATTGTTAGCCACCTTGTGTCTCCACGGGGAGAAAGGGAGGGTCTAAATAAAGATAACAATAACAACAACAACAACAACAATAATATGCCTAGTATCAGACTTTCACCTAATAAGATTCACCACCACCACTCTTTCCCCTGACAGCTCCCTAACATAGGGATATCCTTTTATCAGACACTCAACTGTCTTTGATTGGTTTTATATTCAGACTGCCATCTTACCCACATTCAGCTTGGACCAGATCCAGTTGAACTCAATAAGACTAACTTCTAAGTAGGCATGCAGAGGTTTTAGCTGTTTACCTTCTCAAAGTACATCTGGTTCACTCTCATTTACCCTGAATGACTTCCATCTCTTTTTTTAGTTTACTTTCATTCTTCCGTTAAAGTTTTTATCTCAAGATTTTAAGCCTAGGATGCAGAGACATCACCTACTGCATAAGAAAGTGACACTGGCAATTTCTGTCCCACGTAAAATATCACTAAACTCCCTCCTTTGCTTTGTTCACTTTAAAAGTGTGCACTGCACAGATTTATTCCTGGAGTACCGCACATAATATTCTTACTATATAGCACTTATTAATTTTGTCTTTATGTTGCTTGACTTCCAGCAGAAATCTCACCTGAGCAAATGATGAAACAGATTATGTCCACCTAAGCCTAGTCACTGGCTCACTCTGATATGAAAGGCCTGGAAATGTTTCTGTTCAAACTGGATCTACTTGGCACCCTATGATTTGTGATACCTCAATGCTGAGATGTGGGGAGGTGAAACAGTTCTCAGTTTCCAGCCATCAGCAAGAGACTCTCCACAATCATAATGGCTGAAAACTATCCTTCAACAGCCAAAGAGCAGTCCAGAAACAAACATAGGCACTGCAGAACAAACCTGCATCCTCTTTGTATTTTAAATCCCACTACTGATGACATCTGATTAGACACAATAAGCAGCTCATTAAAAGCATTTAGCAAATACAAGTATTCTCAGTGAAGGTGTATTGAGCAAGCAGAACACAGCAGCAGCCTCATTAGCAATAAATGAAATGCATATTTCTAAGCCTGGGTTTTAAAGCATCCTCCCTCCAGGTAATTACTTTGGCTGGGGGAACACTCTAATGAAAAGGCAAAGCTGTTGCTGGTGAGAGACTTCTCTCTTCGTCTCTCTTCGGGGGCCTGCAAGCCTTCCTCTCCATATGCATGAAGTGTTCTCCTGCAGAGAAGGGAGCAGACATTCAGCTGGCTGGCACTTGTTCCTCAGTGTGGTGAGAAGGAATGTATCATAGCCCAGAAGCCACAAAAACTTGAAGAGATCTTCTTCAACTGCTGCCATGACTCTTGGGTCCAACATCCCGTCATCGGGGGTGAGTGAGGAATTGCTCTCCCTGAGCCGACTGCAAGTATTTCTACCTACCTAAATGCTAATCACAAGATTTTACTGCTTCACCAGGACAATCTTAGGTTTTTTTGAGATTGAGTTGCCCTTTCCTGACTGCCCAGAAATTCTGATGCACACACAGTTTTCCTCACTCCTTTGAAGTCACTACCAGTTGAAACAGGCTTCGCTCCTTGAATGAAAGATGCTTCTTTCACCACTGCTGGAGACAGCCACTCAGCTGAAGCTTGGCTTAAAGAGGAACTCATGGCCCACTGGATGCTGTTGAACTTGATTTTCATACCCAAAGATAGTTGGAGATAAACCCAACAAGTTAAGGCTTCTTAGTACATGGATTTGAGAGTGATCTCAAACTACATTTTTCCCAAGCCAGGAAGGAAGGAAGGAAGGAAGGAAGGAAGGAAGGAAGAAAGGAAGGAAGGAAGGAAGGAAGGAATCAGTTGGCATGGGCCCCTTCTACTGAAAAGTAAAACCACTTTTCCAAGATCCTTAATATTCTCTCAAAGCCCTATACACTTTTATGGAAGAGGGTGAAATGTCTCACAAAAGGGAGGAATATTCAGTATGCCAAAATGGAATTCAAATGAAACTTTACATTCTGTTATTTGTGAAAAACTTGGTTCAAATGGAAAGCTCCAAGTGCAAAATGACAAGGAATCAAAAGAAGATCTCAAGACCATAGAGTTAGCCGCTCTTACCTCCACGATGGATGATCAACAGGTGACAAGGCGGAGCCTCTTTGGTGCATTTGTTGTGGCACTTAAGCCTAAAAGAAGTGAAATGAGAATACTTTGTGAGACAATGTTGGGGCACAGTTTTGGGCCAGAAAATGAGAGATCTGAACACTAAGCTTGGGACTGCCTTTGAACACTGCTTGGAAGCTACAAATGGTCCAATGGGTGGCAGCCAGATTGCTCACTGGAGCGGTGTACAGCTACCGAGCGCAATTAAAAGTGCTGGCTTTAGCCTAAAAAGCTCTCAATGGTTAGATCAGCCCCCTCCCTTCTGACCTCCCGCAAGAGAGTGAACACATGGCTTTGTTACCAAGCCTTTAAAGAACTTGTGCAGTTACTATTGGAACGACCCAGATTACACTCATGGATTATGTATTTAACTCTTAATGTATTGTTTTTAAATGTTTTAATTGTTTTAATGTACTTTTAAATTATATTTTAATATTTATTTAAGTGTACACTGTGTTTTAGGGCATCAAATTGTTGCCTGTATGTGAAGCTGCCTTGAGTCCCCTCCAAGAAAGGTGGGATAGAAATGTCGTAAATAAATAAATTATAAATACATCAAGATCACTGGTTGAACCGGGTGGGGGACTATAGTGTAGAGGCTTCTAGATCAGTATGGGGCACTGCATGTGCAACAACAGTATCTTCTGACTCTATAGTTAACTAAAGTCCAGTCCAGCATGGGACAACACCAGTGGAGGGAAGATGCGGAATTAAACTTGCAGAATTTTCAAAATTCAAGTATTTCTATATCACAGTCTAGACCTTTTCTGTGATGTCTTTAATAAAACTCTAATTTCTCTGGCTTTGCAAAAAAATGTCTGGCCCCATCCACCCAAAGATTAGACGATCCTGCATAAATCTCACTCTTTTTACTCCTTTTTGGAACGCCGGAAATAAACCAAGACTCTGGTGCCATGGCCCTGAACTGTGATTGAGCCTTTAGAATAAGAAGGACAACTACCTACAATCAAGAAAAAAAACCCAAAAAAAACAAAATCCAACTGCAGCTATTTGCTACACTGTCTTGGGCTGGGGAGGGAATAAAACCTATAGAAAAAGAAACATACTTGCAGTTTTTACATTTCAGTCCAAACAACATTCCTTTCCCGCAAACAGTACATGTCTGAGACATCCAATACTTGGTGGAAAACCTGTAACAAGAAAGAGAGAGATTGACCTCTATTAAGTCCTTCGCAAAACCATTTCCTCCAGAATGGCAGCATTTTGTTATTTAATCTATTGGCGTGCTCTTTGCTCTCCCCAGCCCTTGTATCCCAGCTGCCAGGACCATAAACACTAGAACTGCTTATTGATTCGGGCTCAGTAAGCCAATGCAAACGGATGATATAAGCACTTGCCATTCTTCTGTAACCCAAGTGGGAATTTTGAATGTGTGCAATATGTTGCTCTGCCTAGCCTGTCCATGGCAAACAAGAACACTGGAAATTCCATCAGTCAATCAACATTAGGCCATTCCACAAAGTTTATATCTAGCCAGAAGGTCAACGAGACTATCAATAGGAATGGAAAGGAGATTCACGTATTGAGCAAAATAAATAACTGTACTCAGTTCATGGAATTTAAGATTATTAACAAAAGTATTTAGGTATTATCCCATTTGTCATTGTAAAAAGGAAACTCAGACCTTCACCATTGTTTTTAAATGCCCTTTTTGCAATTTGATGGAAATAAATACATGTCACTAACATATGCATTTTTAAAAATGTGCACAAACACACTTTAGTCAATAGCACTAATGTGTTAAAATAAGAATAAAGAAAGATCTATTAAAATGCATCCATTAGAAAAAGTGTGTACCTAGGTACAACTTAATGTCCATGGGACAAGAGTGAATGCTGGTGGGATTCTGAGAAATGCAATGAAACTAAACCTAACAGGCTTTCACATTCCTAGCCATCAATATTTTAAAATACATAAAGCACAATGTAAACACAAAACAGATGGTTGTTTCTGTCACAGAGTACATTTTTGATCTTGTGCTCATGGTAGATAAGGGTTTTCTGCTATCACCCAGTCATCTCTATGAGGCAATCTGGAAACTGGCTCTCAGTTCCAAGCTCAGAGGGGAAGTGAGCTGAATGGAGGTTATATCCATATGGTAGCATCAATACAGCTTGACACCTCTTTAACTGCCATAACTCAATGCTATAGTATCCTGGGAGCTGTAGTTTGACTAGGTATTTGCCTTCTCTGTCAAAACGTGCTGGTGCCTTATCAAACTCCCTGATTCCATAGCATTGAGCCATAGCAGTTAAATGGTGTCAAACTGCATTAATTCCACAGCGTAGATGCACCATTAGTGACTCAGTCTTTGTTGAGTCTCCTCTCTAGAGTGAGTTAGGCAAAGAAAGCAGTAACATCTGTAACTCTCCCCCTTCCCTGGCAAACATCTATGGGCTTTTGTCCACATATTAGCTTTCGGATATGTTCTTTTTTCAGTTTCCAGATCAATACAATTTATTTCAGATACAAATGAGAACAAAGTTAGAGAAAACAAGGTATTTTTTTTGTTATTGTTGCTGTTGCTGTTATTTTGCTGAACTACACCTGCCCTTGCAGCTGCAAAGGTACCCTCAAACAGCTTTGTTACTGAAGGGCGAGTTTAGTAGAGCAGCTTGAGTGTTTCCTAAAAGCCATCTACACCACAGAGCAGAACCCTTGCCTCCTAACTGCATCCTACCAGTCCATCTAAGGTTCTTACCTATTCCCATTTTTTCAATAAAAATGCAGACAGAGAAAGGGAAGGAGGCTCACATCACATTTGCTCAAGATTATAGGTCATAGATAAGGTATTATGGGTTTATTGACAGTAGCCAAAGCCTTATCTAAGTAACATCACAAACTGAAATAGTGTATTGAATCTGAAAAAGAGGGTTGCACCACACACAAAGGCACACAACGCACTCAACTTTTCAGTACTAAAGCTCATTATCAGCGGGTTGGTCCCCCCCCCCCCCACGAACATTACTTACTATCTATGAGTAAACAGTAACCTCGCTCCTTGTTATGACAAACATTTTAAAAACACCTTTTACAGAAAAAAGAACACCAGAAAAAGAATGCCAACTCCAATCTGTCCCTGCCAAAAGAATAAAATAAAAGCCTGCAATAGCAAACAATGGTTACTTATTATGCAAAAATCTTAATGGCAACATCATTGTAATTATATCACTTAAAAGTAAAAGCAGTAATCCTCCTTACACCAAAAGAAAGAGGAAGAGACAGGAGTACATAACAGGGAATGATGCTGAAATGTAAAGTGCTATTCCAAGCTCAAAGATGAGAAAGCTGAAAATTGCACAATCTATGTAAATCCCAGAAAAATAGAAAGACAGCAAGTATTCTATATACTCATGTATAAGTCTACTTCATGTATAAATCTACCTCATGTAGACTTATACATGAGCAGGTTTGGGGGCTAAAACTATGGATTTTGATATGAGTCATGGATAAATGGCCAGAAATGGCAGCACAACGGAGAAAGTAAAAAGGATCAGCACTTCTTTTAAGTTCTCCTGGGATAGACTAAGCACTTGCACTTTCCTTTTGCTGCTCTACTCAGAGAAGGGGATGGTTCCTTTTGGATAAGAATTAAAGAACACTGGTCCATAGATAAGGTGACCCAGGTTTTTTTGTATTGGTTTTTAAACTAAAAATTCTACTAAATTTGTACTATTTTTATATACATGAGTATATAGGATACATGTTTTCATTTTTGTGATTCTGCAAGGTATTGCTCCATCCTTGTTATGGTAGGGTGGGGAAAGGTAATTGGATGTGGCCTAAAGCAGAGGTAGATCATGCTGGGTTGCATGATCAAGGGCTAAGGAGTATGTGAATGGTTGCTGGTGCCACATTTCAGAGAATCCCTAGCAGAGTGTCCTCTGGTGGGTTGGTGGATTTACCTGGCAGCAGTGTGGAAACAATGTGTGGTCACTTAAGTTTTCCACAATACCCTGGGATTACACTGGATCAGAGTTTTGGGGAAATTCAGAACAGAGGTTGAAGTCCTGGGAAGTGTTAGTAGGCTCTGACTGAAAGCTGGGTTCCTGGCACCTGCTCAAAGGGGCTGAATGATGATAGCCAGCTTGCCATTAACCTTTTTTTGCACCAAGAACATGGCCACCTGGCACTCTCATTATAGCCATAGCATCCAAGTCAAAAGCACAGAGGGTGATAACATCTCTTGCCCCAGTCACACAGGTCTCCTTGAGTTAAAATTACCCTTGCACATTAAACATCTGAGCTTTTACCACTTCATACCTGTGTTTGATTGAGTTTCCCAGATCCCGCCGAGGAATTTGTGGGGACCACCGAGGTACTGTCAGTGTATCTGCAAAACAGAAATCGAGGAAAAAGTCACCACCTGGATTTTTGGAGCATGGTTCAGACTGCATTCAAGAATCTGGGGGTCAGTGAGGGAGCAATTCCAAACATCTGAATGAAATCACAGCAGGTGCTTGGGACATTCACATTGTCACCATAATCTTTTTTTATACCTTACCTCCACCCCACCAACTAGGACTCAAATTAAAATGATTACAGCATATTTAAAAACATGCCATGGGTCAGCATTAAAGTTCTCTTCCAGAATATTGAATGCTTTCTCCACAATTGCTCTCCACTCCCTCCCCAAACAGTCAGTCAGAATTCCATATCCATTAGAGTCCCATCCCAAAGCCTATTGACTTGTCTGTCATATGCGGATGGTACCTTTTAATGAAGACAAGGATCCTTTTAACTAAGATAAGGATCCATGCTCTGTTATCATGAATAAACTTGCAAATGCTGGCAAATCCTTATAAAAACCACACCCTCAACTATCTCTACCAGCCAAATTCAGTAAGCCCAGTTATTCCAAGTATAGAGGTAATTGTGCTGTACCTGCCTACTATTTGCTTCTACAGAAGAGGCTATCACCAAAAAAGAGAGATGCGGTAACCCATATCTTAAAGCCCCAAACACTATTGAGTAGACTGAGATTCAAAGTCAGATTTTAAGGGCAAATCAAAGGGGAAGATAGATGCTGGTTTCTCAATCTTAAATTTACTTCATTTGATTTTTTTCCAGTTTGCAATTTGTACAAAAAGTATGGAAAATCCTATTTATCCAGAGGCTTGGAATCCTGGGAACTGTAATTTACATGTTCTTCAGCCTTCTCTGACAAAGAGGGTGGACACTGATACCTCACCAAACTATCAACTGCAGTATTCCATAGCAACGGGTCAAGACAGTTAAAGGTGGCATCAAACTGCATTAACTTTAAAGTGTAGAACAGGTCTGCACAACCTGTGGCCCTCCAGATGTTTGTGCCTCCAACTCCCAGAAGCCCTAGTCTGCTTGTCCAATGATCAGGGATTCTGGGAGCTGAAATCCAAGACACCTTGGTGGTCCAATTTTGCCAGATTACTTCAGGGGGGGTTCAACTCCCATGGCTTTCACCCATTCTGGAGTCCATAAACACACAGCTGTATCCAAAACCAGGAATAATCAGGGATCTTGCACTCCTGCCCCCTATACCTTGCCCTCTGTGAAGGCTGCCTTATTCAGCTGAATAGAAGGATCAACCTGGTTGAATAACATGCAGCCATTACACAGAACAGAAATAATGCCCGCAAAGTTTGGGTTTTAAATAACCTCTGCTACTTGGAAGTGTTCTAAGTTTCACTCTAGCTCTTCTAAGCCTCTCTTGTGGATTTGCTGTATGTCTGTCCAATTTTAGACAGCAACTGGAATGTACAGAAGTGAGTGGTTAAGCTGGTGAATCTCACTTCAAATACACAGACGTCTTTAGTCCAAAAAACACTGCCCATGTTTTTATTCCATTGCAACAAAATCTCTTGATACCCATAGGCTCAATATGTTTTCCTACTCTCTTTACTCGGGACCAATTGGAACACAACCTTCCATGGAGCTATTTTCTGTACATAATAATTAATAAAATGCATTGTTTGCTCGAGAGACTGCCGACTTATAGAAAGACAAACGCAAGAGCTGCTGTGGCACCAACTTTTTTGAAAGCTGAGAGACCTTCAACAGTATTAATGAGAAATCAGTCTGATTCTCCCAGGGCAAAAGAACACTCATTAGGGATATAAAGCCTGAGGCACTGAAATCTGGCCACCAGTAGCCACCAAGCGGCTCTCCTTGTGACCCCTAGGGTTTATTAGGTATACCTGTCAATCCTTCTGCAAACAAGCTCGTGAATATTTCTATATAGGCTGTGAAATGCCTCTGTTTGCTTTCATATCCTATTTTAATATTGCCAGTCGAAGTGTTTTTAATTGCGTGCCATTTCGGAAGGTTACATTTGCATGCGACTTCCTGTGTGGGAACCGGCTTTCCCTCAGCTGCTTAGGAGGAGCCACTCAGAGAACTTCTCCGGCATGAGTTTTAACAAAAAGGGCTGCCAGCAGAAAGCTTTCTGGTAAGAACTGCTCAAGACCTGCTTAGCTGGGATCACCTTTGAGTAAGTTATAGAAGGCTGGAACAAGGCTTTACCTCATCTGCCACCCCTCCATGAATCAATCCTGTTCAAGACTATTGTCTTTGTATTGACAACAGTCACAGCCAGCTCTACCATGAGACAGAGTTTGACAATGACTTCAGGTGTTGCAAGCTCTTGCTCCTGAGCCTGTCTTTCCATTGGGTGATGCATTAATGCAAAACACAGCCCTTCCTGAGACCTCTAAACTAGTCTGCTGCCATCAAGCCCGGTAAAGGTCGCATATCCTATGTGCTGCACTGAAGGAAGGTCCAGCTGCTAGCCTGCCCCATCTTTAATATGACAACCTTTCAAATAGTAAAACATGGCTATAATGCTTCCTCTAAACCTTCTTTCCTCCAAGCTAAACGGGCCCAGCTCCCTCAGCTGCTCCTTTTAGGGCTTGATTTTGAAACCTTTGGACCAGTCTGGTCACCCTTTTTTGAACATGTTCCATCTAGTCCATCTCTTTCTTGACTTGCTTTGCCCAGAACTGAACACAGGGTTATGATTCCAGGTGAGGAGGTCTGACCAAAGCAGAGTAGAGGGGTTCTACTACTTCCCTCACTGATGCAGTCTAGAATTCCCCTTGAACTACTATTCACCTGTTGCAGAAGTCTTGATAAAGTTTAGCTATTCTGGTGTTAAAAGTAATTGCTGGAGAGAGCAGGGAAAGTAGCAAATTGAACTATTTAAAACAGTGCGGGGGGGGGGGGGGGGGGACAATTGAGCAAGATCAGTTATACCCACCTCAAATAGAGTGGGGGTGATTTTGTGACCCACAACAGTACTACAGAGAGTGGGTGATGCTCCAGTTTGAGAGGTGAACTGGAGTGTAAGAAATCTGGGCTCTAATCTCTGTGGGGCTATGAAACTCACTGAGTGAATTCTCAGCCTAACCTGCCTCATAGGATTAATATGAGGATAAACTGAAGCCTAAGAAAGGCATGTCTGCTACCATAAGCCTACTGACAGAAAGATAGGATATAAATGTAGCTAACCAAGCAATAAATAATTCCCCATTTCAGGCCATCTAAGCTGGTAGCCATCACTACATCCTGCAGCAGTAACTTCCATAAATTAATTATCTATTGTGTGGACATGAAACACAAGCCCCATTTACACTGCCATATAATGCAGTTTCAAACTACATTATATGGTCAGTTTGGACTCATAATGTAGATTGAACTGCATTATTTGAGTCTAAACTGATTATATAATGCAAATTCAAACTGCATTATACAGCAGTGTAGATGGGACCTCAGACAAGCTTTTCTTCCATTGGAGAATTAATGCCTCAGAACTCAGGAATTGAATAAATGTGATTTGCTGAAAGCCCCAGAAAAGGGACAATCTACACCACTCAGGATCTGATGTGAACAAGTACAATGGGAACCTTTTATTTTCAGAAATGTCGTTTGCTCATCACTAAATCACATTATACAAATGAGCCACCCTTTCTCTCTTCTCCCCATCGTCCTTTGTGAACCAAACACATGGGCAATTACAGTTACTCACCTAAAGTTAAATTAAAAGCTCTGCTTTATCATCCACAATTTATTTCCACTAACTTTTGGCTGGCCTCAATTAAATCCTGCTATTTTACAGATGGGGGGAGTGTGGCTAAGGCATTTAATTACTTTCTATAACATGCTCATTGCCAAAAAAATTATTATTAAAGTGTATCAGGAATCATAACCTCTTAACAAAGCCATGTGAGACCCTCCGTGATTTGCAGGTAATTATTTTCATTACAAGGATGATGGATGAAAGATCTGAAATATTAACAATACCCCTAACTGTTTGGCGGTGCAGTGCCAAGAGAGGGAAGAGAATGAAATGCTGGGATGGATGAACACTGATGGGTTTCAGAGAGATTTTTCAAGCTAATTTGTGCTTTTGCTTTCTAAGCCATGAGGGGTGGAGCTGCAGTCATTTTCACCAGTATGAATAAGGAAATCTATGATAAAAGGACACCAGTCATCACCCAAGAGATAGGCAGAAGAGAAATCTAAAGGTGCAGCTACATGATTGAATTGATGCGATTTGATACCACTTTAACTGCACCCTGGCTCTATGCTGTGGAATCCACCACGTTGTAGTTTGCTGAGGCACCAACACCCTTTGGAAAAGAAGGCTAAAGATTATCAAACTACAACTCCCAGGATTCCACAGCCTCAAGTTCTGTCAGTTAAAGTGGTATAAAACTCTATTAATTCTACAGTGTAGATGCACCGTTACTCTGCCATAGTTCAACCAGGATTTCTGACCCCATGTTTTTAATAACATCTTGACCACCATCCAAAACTAGATGACTAAATTGATGAACTGGGTGGTTTCTGCATGTTCTGTTCAGTTCTGGTACTCAAAACACTCCTCTGTGCAGCATTCTTTAATTCTAAGTGCATGCCTTTTGTACTAAGTTTTAATTGGTGAATTCCAGAGTTCTAGTAAAAAGTATACTAAATCTTGTCTGCTCAGTCTTATCTCACAATGGTCCTCAAACAAGGAAGGTACAATGAAAGAACCAATGGATGATGCCATGTTAAAAATCACCATCAAGTGACCTCATGGTCAATTAGGGCTGAACATTAGAAGACCCTCTTAGGTTCTTCTCTGGTTTTCATTAAAATCCCATTTAAAAAAAACTTGCAAAATAAAAACAAAAGGGAAACTAAGACAACAACATGCTCTGGAGCCTATGCAGGGTTTCCTGCCTTTAACTGCAATCAAGTTTTGTACATCAGTGGCAGGGTTCTGGCAGGGCCAGAAGCAACAAAGGGAGACTACAAATATCACCCCATTTTAGTTTTACGCTCTTAATGCCACCAACCAAGTCTTAGGGGAGG